AACTAAATGCAGCACTACCTCAAATCCAGTACTCCTCAGCAACGATTACGAAGAGGAAAAATAGGATCTAAGAACTCGTGGAAGCGACGGTGTGATTCGAACCAGTGTTAGTTGAGTTGCATTGAAGTGATTGAGAAATTTGAGAATGTTGCAGTGAAATTATAGCGGAAGCAGTTGAAGAATATTGCAGACGGGAGGGAACTGGGGAAGTTCGCTCTGTAAGGAATCGGGCAGGAGAGAGAGAGAGAAGAAAAAATCATCCCAACATAAAAACGACGGATATAACTTTCTTTGCTCAGTACATCATTTTCCAAAAATATCTTTTATGCTTTATTCACGATTAAAGTAAAATACTAAATATTTAATCAAACAAAAGTAAAATACTAAAAATATATTAAATAGTCTTTAATCTCTTGAAATTCTCATAATTCATCTCCAATGTATTGAAAATTCTCAACTAGATTCTGTTCAAAAAAAAATTATGTCGGGTTGAATTATTATTGGTTAAGAAATATTTTTGGTCTAAGTTTTATTGAACTAACGGTCTATAAACTTTAATTTGTAATTATTTAATCTTTGTATTTTGAGATTGATAACAATTTAATCGTTAGAGGGGGAATGTTGTTAAGATTTAATAGGTTATATATATACATAGATGATGAATTACAACGATTAAATCATTATATGATTTTAAAAAAAACGAACTTAATTTTGATAAAGCTTTTTACTGTAATTTTAAATTATAGAGATTAAATTTTTACATACCAATTTGAAAATATAGGGACTAGAACATTACAAATTAAAGTTTATGAACTAAATCACTATTCAATAAAAATATACGTACCAAAAGTGTTTTTAACCATTATTATTTTATCAACATAGTTAAACAATAGGCGCACCACTAAGACAGACCACTTGGAAAAATAGATTTTATTGATAGATTCATTTGGATTTTGAAGATAAACGAATTTTAAATTGAGAATCAATTATATTAATCGAATAATCACTTAATGAATAATCAACTTTTTTTTAACAAGTCAACTTGAGTTTAGTTCGATTGGTCAAAGCATTTATCTTCTAAGGTCATGAGTTCGTATCTCCATTCCTACATGTTGTGTATTAAAAAAATTATTAACAATTTTTTTAACAAATGACTTAATTGAGAATTTTTAATACATTAAGGATCAAATTGAGATTTTTAAAACATTAAGCACCAAATTGAAAAATACCCAAAAGATTATGATTTATTGGGTATATTTTTCCTAAATAAAAAGGTTCAAATCTTCACCCCACATCTATATCTATATATATCTATATATATATATATATATATTTATTTATTTATTTATTTATTTATTTATTTATTTATTTTAAAAGTTTAACTATAGATGGAGGATTTAATCCTTCGGCCTTTAAAAAATAAATAATATTTTGATCAATTAAGATAATTAAGGTATGTTGATGTCGTCAATTTGAACATAGCTCAGCAGGCTAAGACACCTATGTCCGACAAGAAGGTCGTGAGTTCAAATCTCCTACTCCTATATGGACAAATGGTGATGCAACCACAAAAAATTTGTTGGTTTGGCAAACTTGAAAAACAAATTGTAACAAAAAGTAGATAGCTATAATACAAAGTACAGTGGTATGTGCAATATATACTCATTTTTGTTCGATTCCGTGTTTGTTCGAACGATGCTCGAGATAATATAGTTTCATGTACCTGAAAATGAAGCAGGACTTCTGACAAGACTTCAACGGCTCCCCAAAGAGGTTGTCTGAGATATTATGTTAGATGTTTGTGCCTACATATGCTTTTGAAGGTCGACTCATCCTCGAAAGAGGTTCGCTGAGGTATGATGTTTGGGTTGATCGGCATGCAGCATAACCTCCAACCATCATGAAGTTCCTCGCGAAGCATTTTTCTTTCGTCCTCGGATCCCTCAAAATGGTTCAAGTTATTGATTATCTTATCGCTGAGCTATCAACTAATGACATATGGCCACTGAAAAGTCACCTCCAACTATATCAAATCTCTTTGGTAAATAATTAACACTATATTTTCTTCAAGTGTCCACCATTTTTATGTATAGTCTATTATATATATATATATATATATGCATGCTAGGTGTGAATTATTTAAGGTTGGATAGAGCTATTTTTGTATAATTGTCCGATTCTCATTGATAGATAAAAGTAGGGTAGTATCAATAGCTTTTTGGCTTGAGTTTTGGCAACTTTAAATTTCATTTCGGTAAAATTAAATCTTTTAAGTTAAAACTTATTTTCTGGACCAAACACAACAACAAAAAATTAAAAAGTTCTCTTGTTTTTAATATCAAAATTATTGTTTAAAATTATAAGGGAAAATATATTATGAAACGAAAAATACTCCTGAGATTCCTCTCCGTAATTAAATATTTGACAACTAAAAAAGATAAATATAAAAATAAAGACTTATTTTAGAAAATAACGATTTCTTTCCAAAGAAATAATAGGTTGCCAAATATTTAAGGAATATTTGTTGGGGGGATAAAGTATTTTCCTTATAAAACATACCTAAGGGCAGAATAGGAATATTGTTAGAAAAAAACAGCGCCGACGGAAGAGAGAAGCTGCCCGGAAAAGGGGCGGGCAGGCTGAAGAGACTGGAGAGAGGGAGGGTACTGATATGAGCACACAATGGCAATAATGCTAATAATGGGCTAATCTGAGGCATCCACGTGGATGGTTCCTATTAGGTTGATTTGAAAGGGCGCTAAAATAATCAGCTGGGAGCGGGACTACCGTAAGCGAGTCAAAGCCCGCAATATGTTAATGACACGTGGCGCTGTCCGTACTTCCGGGACAAAGGAATTTTCTGTCAATTTTCCTCATAAATACTAAATAGGGACGACTCGCGGTCCCCGCCATCCGTTTAATTCTCCAGCGAAAATTTCACGGCATTTTACGGAAATTGGAATGGAATTCCTGTAGGGAATTTCTCCGTTTAGTTTCTTTATTTTTTAAAATTATTTATCCATTAAATATTTTCTAAAAATTTTTTAATTAGTTGCTTAATTTCTAATAACAAAATTTCATTTACATGACCTAATTATCCTCTATATATACATTGGATAAGTGCATAGTAAACAATACAATTTTTTTAACATATATATAGAATCATAAGATTGGCTTACTATGTATATATATAATATATTTTTTTAGGAGATAATTGGAATGGAAAACATATTTTTGGTCCCTGTCTCACGGGAAAAGCCCTTCTTATCTGCATCTTGCTAGAAATTTAAACAAGAATTCTGGACATCAGGATTCCTACCCATAAATTATATTTTGGTTGACAAGTCAAGAGAATCCACCTGCCATTCCTTTCCGAATTGACCCTCTAATTTGGATTATATTCGGTTAAATTATATTTTTTTAAAAAATATATGAGCAATCCAAAAGTATTTTCGCACAAAAATATAATAACAATAATAAATATATATATATATATACATATTGTATGCATAAATTTAGTTGTCAAACTTGATTATTCCTTAGCTCATCGGCTTTCGTTTCCGCTCCTGGCCTATTGGTTGAGTTCAGCTTTCCACCCCAATTTTAATGGTACAAATTCTTAAATTAGAAAAAAAAACTAGTAAATTTAGTTTGAAAGTACTATTAAAACACTCTCATAATTTACAAGTAATATAGAGTTATAACTAGTGTATTTAATTGTACTAAAAAAAGCATATTTAATTAAAACGAGATGATAAATTTAGAATATATATGGCTCAAATTTAAAGTTTGAAAGTGAAACTGCTATCCCCTCTGATTCAATTATGGCTTTCGCATTTCTTATAATCCACGGTGGTAAAGGCAAAATATCTTCGATCAAAAAGTTATGAATTCGAATTTCGACCTCTACATGTTGAACTAAAAAAAAAGTTCTATACTTTATTGTGAATTTAAGGTCACTCATTAGAAAAGTTTATTTATACGGAAAAATTTCTTTTTTGAATACGGAAAAATCTCTTTTAACTGCATAATCAACCACTGTACGAAATTTGAGAAGTAATTTTAGGGTGAGCTTACCTTTTAATTTTACCTTTTTCTTAAATTACTTTTCGATCAAATTATTTTTAATTATGCATTTGATTACATTTTTTCTAAAATATATTTTATTTTCATAAAAATATATATTTTTTTATCAATCACTTTAAAGTTACTTTTTGGACAACCACCTCTCGATGACTTCTGATTTTCGAAAAAAATGTATTATATATATATATATATATATTACTAAATGCTGTAGATTTTTTTTTTAAAACACTTTTAATTATCTAAAACCACTCAAAAAGCTATACTAAATAGACTCTTAAGTCTTAACCAGTAACTCTTCCACAATGCATGTTGAAAAACAATTTTCTTTAAAAAGTATATTCTTTTCAAAAGTCTGTCTAAAGAAATCTTTCACAATTCTAAAAACAATTGGCCAAAAAGGTATACCAAGGAAGCAATCCTAAGGGAAGAATTGAACATCAGAAAATGCAAAAGGGACAATCAATGTCAATTAATTTAAGTGGGAACTGAACTGGATTCCTTGTAAAAAGTGTAGATATTTTTCTTTTTGACTGCTGTGGCAAACTGCAGCCTTTTGTTCATAAAATCAGACATATCCCTCCTGTTCTTGTGGGGAATAAGAATTTTTTATCACCAAAATAAATTCCCACAATTCAACATAATAATAACAACAATAATTTACAGAGAATATTCCTTATTTTTCTAGAAATCTGACCTCACGCCATTCAAATATAATGGCATCATAGGACTATAACAAAGAGTCAATGTGGATTGTGTTTTGGTAAAACAAACTGGCTGCCCAGCATAAACCAACTAAACTAACTCAAACCGATAACTAACCGACAAGTATACTTCAAATCGATCAGTTCGGTTGGTGTTGTTAGTTGGCCTGTAGTTTGAACGACCTTTTGAAAGAGAGGGAGATTAATGCAAGATTGAGGAAAAAAAAATGATTTGCACAATCCAAACTAGACAGAGTTTCTTTCTTTCTGGTCATTATGGAAACACAAAACAAACAGCAGCTTATTTTGCTCACTAACAATAGATAGAAGGGATATAACCCACTACAAGAGTGATGTTAATTGGAAAATATAACACCAAAGTGCTGAAAAGAAACATTAGTCTCTGCAATTACCAGATCCAAAAGACCCCCTTGAACTGAAAATCAAGAACGCGGTCTCTGGCCTCATAATTCTTTACTCAGTTTTCAGATGGACTTAGTATTCTTTGTTTCCGAAGTTCTTGCACCAGAGCTGTGAAGGAATCGGCCGAACAGGATTGTGTGGCCGTTGCTGCATCAAAAAAGAGAAGGCAAGGTTACTTCCTGATCATACTTGAGACAAATTCAAACAGAAAAGCTAGTGTCAGGGTGAGTGATGAGGGAATAGAATCTGATTCCCACGAGGAATGAAATTTGGGGTCTATTTAGTTCATGCTCAATCAGGAATATATAGAGGGTGGGGAGCTTCCCGACTTAAACGAAAAAGAACATGTGCTAAAACTTCAGAATCATTAAAATGAGAACCAAATGCATGGCTAGCTTTTTCTCGACAAAAATGCATGGCTAGCCATAAAGAAACTTTATCTCTATCATATTTACCAAGAGAACAAGCATAAATAATTATCTAATGACACAAAATCAAGACATTTATAGCACATATGTCGAGAACCTTTACATCAAGCCATCCAAAAAGAAGTTTAAATTTCAGAGATTCATTTCACACACTATGGAAGGCTAAGAAGGTCAGATAGGAAATGCAGGAGTTTCCTAAAAAAAAAAAAACTAAATAATATCACAAAACGGCAAATTCATATGATCAATCCTCAATACTTGATTCAATAAGAGATGACATGTTGACAATTGCTATCATCACTTTTCAAGGATTACATGTTCTTTGTTCTCAATGAACACCGATATGGAATACTCTGTCTTGTGCAAGTGAAACTTTCAACAATACATATCTACACCATTCCTTTTCAATATCAGGGAGACGTGAGTACCAATAATGTTATCCTCAATAAAATAATATTCTTAATTAATAAGTTCAAGTTGGTTTAGTTTATCTCAAATTAATTTTAAGATAATCATAAACCAACTTAACCCAAGCAAGTTAAAAATATTTGAACCAGATCCACAACACATTTGCATCCTTTCTGAAATAATCATTTTCTTTTATGCTAATCCGTAGATTCTAGAAAGGATGCTTCATGCTTGGATGTCTTCTCTCCCAGTCCCCTTCTATTTCAGAAAAGATGCTGCATAGCAATAGGCTTCACAATTTGTTTCGCTGCATTGTGAGTGCAACAAATTATTCACGAGTACAACAGGCCTTTTGCACGCACAATAACAAGACACCTTCACAAAATATATATTCCACCTCTTGTGGCTGCAGGCATTATACTACCTTCATGTCTTTAGAAATGAAACGGATGGGGGTCAATAAGGTCCACATCTGTTAATATAAAGGACACTTTCTAGAATAAGAGATCACAGCATTGTCGGCAGATTGTACATGTGTAAAATGAATGTAATTTCTAATAGGAAAATGACACTGGAGATTTCCAATAGCGCTTATTTCCCTGTGGCATTCTGTCCCTGTTAGCAAACATGGGATGAGTGACAATAGGAAAAATTGCTAAGTTCTCAAGGTCCTTGGTTCTTCAAAGGTAAGTTTTTGTCTTCATTTTCACTTGCAACAGACCTAAAAAAGATAACTAAATGTTCTCAAGAGGGGTGTAACAAGATCCCTTTTCCTCTCGATTTCCTACAGCTTTCTACAGTTTTGAATTTTCTAATAGCAAATATTTTTTCTACAGTTTTGAATTTTCTAATAGCAAATATTTGACAGCCAAGGAGCTTCTGTGAAAGTCTATTTGCATATGTTTAAGCATAGAGAACTCGAGATAGATCATAAGCAAGTTCCTTTCATTATTTATTTATTTATTTCATTTTCATATATTTTTGGGCTTTTATATCCTCAAATAAATTTTTTTTGATAACTGGGAGTCGAACCTTCGCTCTCTTATACCTGGGGCACTAGGCCGGATCTAGGAAACATCAAGGATTTTTTGTATTAAGCTCACTTGAAACCTCTAAGCCAGTATGATCCAAAGACACTTTTATATCCTCAAATAAAGAACTGCCTATTAGGTTGATCAGTGAGGTAGGAGCTCAAAGGTGGCTAAAACACTAGATCCAAGCTTCCATCTGTTCACGTGGTTGACTTGCATAGAAGGAATAATATTTGCAATCAGCTTTACAGGCAATATCCTCATATAAATTGAATATCCAATATTGGGCTATACAAAAAGTTAACAGAGTATGTAGATGACTTGATTCCATGGCATCCCACCTTTTGAACAATTTGGTGCCAGCAGGAGAGTAATTCTAAAGTTGGCCATTCCATGGGAATTATGGAATGAAAGATTGATTAATAGAATAATCTTTGAGAAAATATGGCACGGTCATTATTTTGGAGATCATTAACATTGGAGCTTCTTGCAGTCTCCTCTCTAACGTGAAAGTTTTATATTATCCCGTTCTCTTTTAATCTGAAAATTTTTTAAAAGTCTAACGCAATTTCCATAGTCGCTAGAATTACAGACCTGATTCCCCTAGTTTTTCGTCTTCGCTCTTTCATTATAGAAATTGATTTTCGTGCAGGAAAGATTTAAAGACCTTGTATAAGCAAAAATCAAAGATAATCTTTGACTGAACCACAATCATCCAATATCATATGCTGCAAGATACCGACCACACACATTCACACCAAGAGTATTAACAAATGATAAAAGGAAAAGGATAAATTTACGATTTAACTAGCAATTTCAGTGCCTTATGACCTAAGTGAGCAAAATTTAACCTTAAACAATCCATGCCCTAGAGTTGTACATAGATCCTTCGCTTCTCAGTTGGGGTCGATTCAATGTAAGTTCCGAGCTAAAGTTTTTCTACTCCAACTCGTCTGTCTATAGGATGAAAAAATAGATTGAATTCCACGCTTTCCCCCACCCAAAAAGAAAATTTAATCAAACAATAAGCAAAGAATAGATAGACGAAAAATGGTGATAAAGAAACCTCAAGCTCCGCAGATTTCATAGCGATAGGGATGCAGACGAGAACGATGCCAGCCATGGCAATGGCGGTATTGCGTTTCCAATGCTTGGGCCGGCAATAAGGTCCTCCGCTCATGCTCCACACCTTAGCCCTAAAGTCCCCATGAGCCTCCCCATGTCCGTGTCCATGTTCACCTCCTCCCATCCTGTCACTACTCTCTGAAATTGGAGATCGGAACGGCGGTCAAAACCAAAATCGCAGTTAACGAATTATCAATCAACTAAGATCCATGTATGCATAACAATAGATTCGAGGATAGAGAAATCAATTGGGAAGAGACAGATTTCTTCGATTTCAGTACCTGAAAATTTAGGGATTTTGATCGCTAGCGAACGAGGAAGATACTCTGCTTCAACGCAGGCGTGTGTACTGGAGGCAGTGTTCTTGAAGCTCTATCAGTAAAATGATCGTTAGGCGAGGACATTTTGGTCTTTTAATAATTATGTTATAATTATTTTTGTCAAAAATCACTTACGATTTAGTTACTATACTTTTAAATTTATAATAATACCGATACTTAATTTTGATGAGATTTTTCGTAACAAAGATTAAATTATTATTAATTTTAAATTATAGAGACTAGCGTTGTTACATAGTGAAGTTGAAGGACTAAAATGTAACTAATTTAAAAAAATACAAGGACTAACAAACTAAAATTCATTCCATCTACTAAAAAACTAAAATTGATTAAATCATTGCTTAGGTGAAATTATAGGGACGAGAAAAATTTTTAACCTAACATTTTTTTTATTATATTGTAAAGTCACTACCAAAATAATTAATTAAATAATGTTGATTAATTAATTATATTGTAATGGCGGTGGAGACGATATACCTGGCAGATGTTGTGTCGGTAGATGAAGCTGAATCTCTCACGGTGATGGAAAGCCTTCGGCTGGCGTCGGATTTGAGACCTTCCCCAATCCTCCTTGAAACTGATTCGCTTCGGGTGTCCAATCTATTGAGAAATGAGGAAGAAGATCTGTCAGAAACCGATTCGATTATTTCTTGGGCGAAAACAATCTTTGCTAAAGGTTTGCATGCAAGGTTCAGATTCACGAAGAGAAGCGGAAACAAGGTGGCTCACCTTTTGGCGTGAAGAGCCCTTCAACGTGAAGAACGACATATTTGGATGGAAGAATGACCATCGGAGATCTCGGATGCTTTGGCTGTCGAGTGTCTTGATGTTTTATTTTAATTGTGTTTTGTTTCTGTTTTCCTTGTAAAAAAAAAGTTGCTTTATAGAAAATATTAATTTAGAAAATAATAATAAAAAAAGCATTCTTACTCATAATGAATTATAAAACATACCATGAAAGAATTTAAGAGAAATCGATATTAGAATTGAAGTTTGTGAGTTTTGGTAGAATTATTCCATATTAATTTGTCAAACTTAGTTTTATTGAAATTAGTGAACTTTAAAGACTTTTTTAATTACTTACCGTTAAAATTAGTGAATGAATTAGTACAAATTTAATCAAAATTAAAAATTACAACAACTATCTAAGCCTAGGTCCAATTTGATGAAATTTTAAATTTAGGATGAAAATTGATACAACTTACCAAGTTTCATAATACAAACGGATTATTTCCTAAAATAAATCCACAAGATACGTTTATATGTCTAAAAACGAAAATGATTTTAAAAATCATAATTAGTTGGTCTACTAGTCATAGGATAAAAAAAAAAAGTTAATGTCGCAGTTATCCAAAATATTTGAACAATCGACAGTAAAATATTGGTTTATCCTCAAAATTTTTTTTCCCGCTTAGTACTTGGTTTTGAGATTAAAACATGTATACAACATAAGATTATTATTGTATTTAAATCTTGTAAAATTGATGTTTATTAATATCATCTGAAAGAATAAATTATTTCACCTAAAAACGTTGAAAATCAAATAATTTTATAAACTTCAATTAATTTGTTCAAATAAAGAAGACCGATTTTATTTTGCCAACACACAACCATAGAAGTATCAGTTCTTGCTTTCGGACTACTTTTAACCACGGCAGGGTGAGGATCAAATTTTTAGCCTTAAAGAAAGATAATCGATATTTAATCTATTGAACTATGCTCGAATTGACCAAAAAATGTCTTTGTTTCATAATAACAATAATTCTTTCTTTAGAAAAAAAACATACAGTCATCTAAAGAGATTCAAAACTATGATGGAAATTTGTTTCTTGTTTGTTCTTTTCTTTTCTTTCTTTCTTTTTTCTTTCTTTCTTTTTTGGTTGCAAAAGAAACAAAAATGTATTTGATTACCCTTTTTTTCCTCCTTAAGTATCTAAAATTTGTATGTTATATTTAATTTTTAGTATTTATTAAGCATTTTTATTGCTATTATTTATGTTACAGAGAAAATTGAAAATCAAAACAAGAAATTTGATTTTATTGTTTCTAAAACTGACACTGTTTCTTCAAAAGGGAAAACAAAAAATAGGAATAATATGCGTATGTTTCTAACAAACTGAAAACGAAGAAACGATGAAAGAAAGAAAGAACGAACGAAAAAACTTACCAATCGAGCTCTAAGTTGCCTCCATAGACTATAACATGCTACTTATCGATGAACATCCCAGACTACGACGATAATAGTGCAGGGAACAGATTCTTGAACCTTTTTAATTACTGAAAAAAAGTTAAAAAGATGCAATGAACGGAAGTGTCCAACTTAACCCAACAGCAACGAACATCTCAAACTGGTCAATACATTACTTACCTTCCTAAAATTCATCTAACTCGTCCCACAGAGAACATCATTTCATTCTTCAACTTCTTCAGTGAAATTAATTTGAAGAAGTTTGAGGCAATTTATAGACCTTGGACTTTGGTAACCAAGCATGTGCCATTGAGTCTTCAAACGAAAGCAGCAGAAGTTGCATTGTATTGTATAGTATATTGAATGTCCATCGCAAATCAGTGTTTAGTCTCGGCTGCAAGTGTCAATCTGACACCATGAGTGAATGAAACGGGAGAAATGGCAAGTTTCTGAACCAGTTTACTGATGTTCATTGAAATGTCAGCAGGGGATTTTACCCCTCGATCAATCTGAAACCATTCAAGTGGAAACTCAAACCAAAAGTAGAAATAATAGACGAATCTTCTGGAAGACAAGGCTGCCAAAATATCTAAAATTTCCAGCACTATATTTAGCCTACCGAAAAAGAACAGTGCTACCTAAAAATGGTGCGGTTTCAAGTATTCAGTATTTTTCTAGTTTCTAAAATTTGGTATCAGGACTCCACTCCTTGCATCATGCTCAAGGTCCACCCCTCTAATCTTTGGGAGGTTTCTGTGAGAGTCCTGGTAGGGATAGCTTGAAAATAGTATTAGTATATGAGTTAGGGGCGTTATAGTAACTAATTAGGTATGAGTTGGTTAAAAACTTATAAATGGAAGAATTAGGGAGAGGAAGGGGTATCTTTTAGGAAATAGTTTATGGGGAAGAACTCAGCGTAGTTCTCTCACGGTTGGGTTGGCAATAAGTTTCAGTTTCATCGGGTAGACGAACTCACTAACCCGAATTTTCGGGTTGGTCCAAAAAACTTTTCTAATCCGACCCAACCCAACTCGTGAACATCCCGATATCAAATGGTTTAATCTATGATAAAAGGAATACAACTTATGACCTTACTTGAACAAGATCTATTCTATAGGTTATACTACTGCGTCTTTGGTTCTAAAAATGAATACAGCTTAACACCATTTGAAAAAGATATTATAGGAAGATCAAGAGGAACATACCGAGGATGCAGACACTCTTTTTATCAATGATTTGTTGTGCCCTCTAATTTCTGCAACAGTCTCGGCCATTTCGACACGTGATACACGATTCGGTCCTCCAACATTTAACAGCAACTGCATTTGCTTGCTCTCTGGAATTCGATAATCAATTATTGCAGAAGTAAGAAACTAAATTAATATAATAAAGGAAAAAGAAATACAAACATGTCAAAACTTAGCAGAAAAATGATTGAACAACAACTATCAATCAAGCAATGCAGTATATGCCAACAGAACTGACAAAAAATAAAGCAATACCAATGGAGAAATAGTTACTTTTTCTTTTTTTTTTGTTCGAACAAGATACTAACTCTTCATTAAATTAATGAAAACGAACAAAATTGTTCAAAGATACAACTCTCGAAAGAGTAAAGTACAAATAAAATTGCAAATAAAGCTAAAGATTCAGGAAGATGTAATAAAAACACCCTAATGGAGAAATAGTTACTAAATGACAAAAATTGGGAACTATCCATTTTTTATTCCACGTTTTTTAAACTATAATTTATTCAACATGAAAGGAACTAACTGAAGGTGACTTAGGGAGCACCATCTGTATTATCATCCATCACGTCCCTACAAAATCCATACCTGATATCCATGTCTTAATCAATTTTATAATGACAGCTACAACGTCCTTGACATACACGGGACATCGAAACTCATCGTGAAAGAAGTCAACTTCGCTTCCTTTGGTTAAAACAGCATCAATCCACTGTATTGAATGCATACAATGATACAAATTAATTGTCATATACAAAGAAGTCATGAAGGCCATCAAAATATTTTGTACTGAATAAAAAAAGAATCAATCAAGTTAGTTGGTTTATATAAGTTTATGTTTAGTAACAAATTATGATGGATGTAATTCTCTTCCTAATGTCCACTAGTTGTTTTTAATGGCCTGATCGATATGCTTGAACTTGCAGACATTCGTCATCAGTGCTTAGAATTCAAAATGATTATATATGGATTAATATATCAGGAAATTTCAGAAGTACAATATAGCATGCGACCATGTACCTGAATTGGAAGAGATTTAGGAACAGGTGAGATGGTCTGGGGACCAAAAATGATGCTAGATCTCAAGATTGCAAAGTTAGGAAATTTCTCAGAAACATACTGTTCAGCTGCTAGCTTTGACTTCCCATAAACATTCACAGGAATGGTTTCATCTTCTTCCTTGTAGAATGATCTCACGCCTTCATAAACTGGTGGGAAAATAACATCATGCACTATTCAATAATTTATAACAATCATAAAGTAAGGAAAAAGATGTCCCCTCAAATAGACAGAAATAAAATCTTATATTTAATGAAACTTTACTCCAGAGAGCCAATTAGTAATGATGATTATCAGTTACTTATAGTCAGCAGACCGAAATCTTCATATTTGGACATCTAGATAACTGAACTGGGATTATAATTCCTAATTCAATCTAATTCATTGACTCTATTGGCCGAAAAAGTTGGGGCATCAAAGTTTTTAATGGAGTAGCACCATCCCAGGCTATGCTCATTAATCTTTTGCCAACAATCTTAGGCATAAAGATACCGTTGATGAAGGAGAAGTTCAGTAGACTCGAAAGACAAAGATAAAACAAAACATAAACATAGAAAAATAATAACTTTGAGAAACATATTTGATACCAATAAGTTCATCAAAACAGCAATGTCATCCCTAAACTTCAGTATATAACTGATCCCTTTAGTTGATAGTGTGTAACTACTTAGTCTCTAAGCTTTATGACGTAACTACTTAGTCTGAATGAACTTGGCCTTGGCCAGCTCAAGATTCATCTTCTTATCTATAGACATAACTTTCTAGGTTTGTTCCCAAACTAGCCCTTCTTCAAGGGACAAGAGGATCGTCAAGAAGATCTCAATTTTCTAAAGATAACTTGTGATTTTGCCCCCTTTTCTAGTTGTAAGGTCGGCCAAACTATAACAACCCCACAACAAATAGTGAAATGTCAAGCCCTTTCTCTATTAAACTTCAGTATATAACTGATCCCTTTAGTTTATAGTGTGTAACTACTTAGTCTCTAAGCTTTATAACGTAACTACTTAGTCAGAATAAACTTGGCCAGCTCAAGATTCATCTTCTTATCTATAGACATAACTTTCTAGGTTTGTTCCCAAACTAGCCCTTCTTCAAGGGACAAGAGGATTGTCAAGAAGATCTCAACTTTCTAAAGATAACTTGTGATTTTGCCCCCTTTTCTAGTTGTAAGGTCGGCCAAACTGTAACAACCCCACAACAAACAGTGAAATGTCAAGCCCTTTCTCTATTAAAGCACTCAAATACCTCCTAAACTCCAAATCACCTGGTCTGATGTCTCTAATAGATTTTTAATTTACAACCATCTAGTCTCTAAACCTTTAACATGTAAGAATTTAGTCCCCGTAGTTTAAAAGTTTAAAATCCAGTCCGTTTGGATCCCACCAACCAATAATTTCTTCTTTTGCAAATTTTAAACTACAGAGACTAAGTTGAAAGAATAAATAGTGAAGAGTTACTTCAATGACAAAGAAGGGAGGAGTTACCTTGATCAGTTGATAGATGAACTAGAAGAGTATTCCTCTCTTCAAAGCTCAACATCCAATTTCCAAGGGCAGTAGGCACGTTGATCGACAATGCAGAAGCAGGGTCTGTTTCGCAGGCACGAGGTACAGAGATAGCAGCACAATTAACAACAACATCGGGCTGGTATGTCGAAATCATATTTCAGCACTAGAAATTCTACATTTATAACAGCAGATCACAAATTCAACTATTCAACTTCAAGCGGCAAAAAGGGCAGAGGCAAACCTGGCCAAATTTCTCAGCAATGGCATCGAATCCTTGACCGGATTTTAAATCGACGTGAAATGCGAGCAGATTAGGAAGAGCTCGCAACAAATCTTCCGGCGGAAAGGAGTGGTAAGTGAATGCGATATCGTATGGAGCTCCTTCGATCCCGGAAAATCCTGATAGAAGATGCTGACCTAAGTAACCTGTGCCGCCCACTACCAGCACCTTCTTCCTGCTCATATTCGATTACCAGAAATGGGCGAAACGATTTCTGGTTCTTCGGAAGTGAAAATGGAGCTCAATTTCAATTACATTCCAAAATGATTTTGGTTTTTCTTTTCCTCCAGAACAAATTATTGAAATTGGGTGTGATTCCAAAATGCAATGAGTTCGAATTTCATTGTAATAAAAAAAAAACGAATACATTTTCATATAAAATCATGGAAATTGCAAATGTTTACATAATTGTTTGAGTTAATAAATCAATATAATTCAACTAGTTAAATTAAACTATATATATATACACACGAATCTTCAACCTCGCATCCGAAGATCATTATTAATGACATAGTGAGTATATGTTAGGGATGAGATTTTAGTAAAATAATTTATATGGGTATCCTTGGACTCCATTCGTCAATAAAACTCTGATATATAGAGTACCGTACCTGCGTACCCTATTTGTTAATACTATAGTTTTGCCTTTATGAATAATTTTTTAATATTGATAAACTTCACATCTTTTTTAATATGATGTTGATGTGACAGAACAGTGAATGAAAGAACTATCTTGTACTATGCATACTCTCATAGTACAAGAATTTTTATTTTGTTTCCGTGTGGGTACGTGCACCTAGCTACTTAGGTGAGACGAGAAGCCACTTAACTTGGTGAATCGTAGCCAAACCAAGTGAGATGAGATGCTTGGAGCTTGACTTAAGTAAGAGCAAGTACTTGTAAACCCGACCTTAGTTGTCAATTTCAAGCACTCGAAATACACCAAAGAGCCAAACAAAATACTAGATAGTAAAATCTTGACTAGTCTAATCGAAATAAAAGATAATATCTTATTAGTCCAATCTACCAATCGAAATCATACAAAAACATTACACGTTCTTGTTGTGATATTTTCTAGACTTCTTCCACATTTTCATAAAATTTAGAAAAATGACATTTTTCTTCAATATGGAGGTCAAACCACTGAGGTTAAAGAAATGTCTATTTGTGGGTAAAAAATGTACTCATATTTTAATTTATATAATTTTCATTAAACTTATTTGTAATTTTATTTCAAGTCATAAATAACCATATTTTATATTTTATTAACTACCTACCCATCAAAATAGCTATTTGTCCCAAAAGATGTTATTGGTGGGAGGATTGTTTGAGACAGGTGAAAAAATAAAAAATAAAAAGTAACTTTTTAATCATAATTTCATAAAAACAATACTAAGAAATTCTTCCTGAGGAAACAAGTATCGTCACCATCCATACACGACTATTGGATAACTCAAGCTAACATATCGTAGATTCAAATCTCTTCTCTCCTTTATAATAGCATAGTTTAAAAAAACACAAACAACGCAAATATGACAATTATCTCACCTACGAACATATCTGAACAGGATTAAATATATGAGAAGGTTTTCACCGAGCCATTTTTATTAACATAATGAACCTAGGATAAAAATGCAATTTATCTAAAGAGGAAACAAAGAATGAATGTTGCCAAGGAAATCATAATTTACAGAGCTGAAGTATTCTACCATTTTCCTACCTTTATACAGACAGAAACAGAGTGCAGTTCCAAATTTCTTTTCATCTGTTTCACTCAACTCAAGCTTGAACTACAAAATAGGTTCATTGAGCAGATTGATGTTTGATGTTTCTTATCAGCTGAATTCTGGGGCAGGGTGGGGCTGGTTAATAAGCTGCTCAATTTTCTGTTCACAAAGTCATGAAAAGAAACCAACATGAATGGATGAAGTAGAGAATCAAGAAATGAGGTGAATGATATTCCATCTCCCTTGAGCAATCTAGAAACTGAGGACACTATTTTGAGCAAAGTGTTTGTGGACAATGACTACCTAGTTTTTTTTATTACTGTCAAGAAAATCGAGGTTTTTTCCACATAATAGTGTCAACCAAAGACCAGAGCATCTTAGCAGACACCGGAGAGAAATAACATATCCTAGAAAACAGATGATAACTCATATTGTCATTCACAATTTAAAAGACAATAAAGTCTCATTTGATAACCATTCATTTTTAGTTTTTTATTTTTCTATTTTTAAAAATTAAGCTTAGAAACATAACTTTCACCAGTGTTCCTTTGTTTTGCTATATAGTTTTTGTAAACATTTTCAAAGTTCGGGCCAAATTGTGAAAAAAAAAAAGTAGTTTTCAAAAACTTGTTTTTGTTTCTGAAATTTGGATGAGAATTCAAATATGCTTTCAAGAGCAGTGAAAAACTTAAAATTGCACAAAAACAGGTATGATTTTTAAAAACAGAAAACCAAAAACGAAATGATTATCAAACGGCATCTAAGGTGTCGGCCAATTATGCTAATCTTGGGACAGGCCACGAGCATATTGTTTTTGCCACGTCGATGTCCTGATTTCTAGAAAAACGACATGTGGCGGTTCACATCTTCATGCTAGTTCATGCCTTTTGGGTTTGATAAGAAAAGTAAATGAAATAAAGAGTTCATGGGAGAGAACAAGGCATCTCATGCTAATTTAATTCATACCGACCACTACAGACAAACAGTTATCACTCTCTTTGATATGCAACAATTTGAATTACCTGCTACAGAGATAACCACAGAGATGATAAATAAGTAAATACCTTGACTGATATATTGACTTCTTCCAGCTTTTGAAGCAGCAGTTCCTGAGACAATATACTTCTTCGTTCCTTCGCCACATAATGTGGTGATATAGTAGTCTGCAGGACCGAAAACAAAAGCTGATAAGGATGGCAAGAACTCAGAAAACAAACACATAGCTCGAGCTATGATTCATGTCCAACGTAAATTAACGACTCCTAGATAAGATTACAAAGTACTAAGCAGACAGAATTCCGAATATGCACAAGCAAATAAAAATCATAAAGTCAATGTCTGTTTCAGCTTTCAGGTACCATCTAGGATTCATCAAGATGACAGGCTACCTAACTTTTTACCTTGAATTGCTAGTAGCCTAGTAGTATTCGGGTTTGAAACGACTTTTTAAATAAAAACTAATAAGTGAGGACATTCATCTAATTAGTTTTCATAAAAACGCTTGAGATGTTTCTCGGGGTTTTTAGAATTTTTTTGATCATCTAACCAAAAACTCCGAAAATTTTGAAAAAGTGTTCTTTATGAGCTAAAAGCACTTTTTACCATCATGAAGTCATCCAAAACTCACCAACGATTTGCAAGAATGAAAGGATGTATGCTTTGCATTTCAGTTCTACCTATGTTGGCCAAATAATGAGTGGCTAAAAAACGGGAATAAAAGAAGTCATTATCTTCATAAAGCCTTCAGATGCCAAAAAATAAATAAATGAAGGAATTAAATGTCTGAAACTAGTAGCACCAGAGAGTTTTTTTATGATGGCTAATGGCACCGACAAAACTTGTAAACAGACTCTTTAAAGGCTCATATTACCTTTTTTTCTCCTTTCGATCCACCATACCAAATGACCGATTTCTGGTAAAGCCATTGGCATATACCTTCTCTTACTCGTAAGGTTGAATTGGAAAAAAAGAAAAAAAAAAAAGACTCAAAACGAGCTAAGATCAAAGCCAAAGGGCAATCCATACCTTCAACCCTCTTGATGGAGATCTTAAAAAAGTAGGTCCCTCCATTGATCTTGAAGGAAAAGTGCTTTCTCCTTCAGCATTTAATGGAGTTGTATTCCAACAGTCTTGAATAACTTTTGAAGCTTCTCTTACAATGATCTGGTTGGAATGCAAGAAGGCAGCATCTCTTCTTAAATTAATTTTTTTTTTTTCAAAAAGTTAGTTCCTAAACTTTACGGTATATCTAATAGGCTCCTAAACTTTAAAAGTTTTTGAAAAATTCTTGTCTAATAGGTCCCTGACGTTCGTAGATCTATTAAACACAAAATTAAAAATTTAGGGACATATTAGACACTAGTTAGAGTTTAGGAATTTAATAGACGCAAACCAAAAGTTTATGAACTAAATTTATAATTTAACCTAAAACAGAAAGCATTAATAACTCAAAAAACAAAATTGACAAAACTAATGTTGAATTACTCCTTTAAAAACAAGCCAACAGATGAAGTAAGACCAACCTTTCTCAGAAGACCAGGGTTAGAAATCCCTTGAACCTGCAGATCATCAACAGGAGAAGCTTTCCCACGTGCTATGCTTTCAATTCTGAAGGTATGGATTCCGTACACTGACTGTAAGCAACCTACACAGAAGAAGAAACTTTGTTTCTTCAACTCATGCAGTTCCATATCTATTGAGTACAATCAAGAATGAAAATGAAATATAATAGTGGAAATATCGAGTTTAAGAAGCAAGATAGTTGTTCACGTGGATCTTGATCTAAATTTTCAGAATGTCGAGTGACAACATTTTCTAGTCACCATATGTTCATAGAACATCCATCATGATATTAAATATTAGTGTTATAAATATTAAAAATAACAAGAGACAAATTTTGGTTCCATGTAGTGATACATGGCCCTCCCCAAAAGGAACCTTCACGGATAAAATTGGGAATGTTTAGAACTCCCCCAATCAGGTTCTTGTATATATACGAACATCCTGGTAAAGGTATGCTTTCAAATTGAACAATCCAATGTGTATCAAACAAGGGTTTAACCACAGGTATCACATCACTAGATGAAATCAATGTGGAAATATAACAACTCACTTTTTATGCCTCTGTTGATAGTTTATAAGAATATTATGGCAGAAACAGTTTTAATACTTTGGTGCTAGATTGTACCTAGCACGATACATTTAAAAAACAGTATAACACATAATTAAAATACTGCCACTTATTTTCTAAAAATGGTATAGCATAGAAAAAAGTACGAAAAGAGAAACACACACACAAGTGACAATGTCATTGAAAAAATGGAATGAAAAACAGTAAAGACAAAAGACAAAAGCCCTGTCAGTCAGGGAGGTTAGAGAAACGCTCTCCAATTGCCCAATAAAGGAGATGGTATAATAACCACAAAAGAAATCAGAAAAAGAAACACACAAAGGAGAGGTTCCCAAACATCCTCCCAAGAGAACTCAATTTCTTTCTTTCAATTAAGTTTAACAAGAAAGCATGATCAAGAAAATAAAGTGAGGAATATCAAGGAACTATACTCCATAGCAGCAAGATCACAAGTGAAGGGTGCACCAATACCTTGTTCAATAATGATATCAATCACCAAGGAAAGAGGAACATTCTTCTCAATTTTCGTGGTACCCCAAAAAGGTATGAATGAAGGTCTTGAAACCTTAAAGGAAGAGAAACGAAAGTTAAAACTTCCTCCATTTTCTTTATTTTCATAAACATATAAAGTTTCTGAAGGGGGAAAACCAAATAACTTAAAAATGAACCTTGTAAACTATTTTCCTTGGTGTGACATATAATCTGCGGGAGGAAAAGTCCTTCTGAAGCACATATCTCCTATATGGCAGGTAAAGTAGCATGATTATCCCAAAACCCCAGGCTAAAACCAGCAGCAGTGATATAGAAAGCCATATAATAGTGTCATATTGGACACTGTATCTTCCAAATTCCTCGAAAGATGCTTCATAAAGAATCTGTTCAGAGAAATCTGCAGCTTCATCAATATCCAACTCAGATACCAGATCGGACAGAAGACGATCCTTCGAGTATTGATGTTGTGCTAGAACTTCTGTATGTCCCATCAACATTTCTTCAAGCTCTAATCTTATGAAACTGCAAGTAAAATAAAACTTCAGTATTACTAAACTATAATTTCAATTTGTCCCGATACAAGATTGTTACTCAAAACAGCAGAAACCAGCTGCATCCAACACCTTCAGCCCCTTATAACAATCCATTTTAAGGAGAAAAAAACATACTGAAGAGTTCAAAATATATGACAGAAAACCATTGATCTTCCAAGTAATACCTACAGTTAACTGAAAACAAAAAAAAAAAGAAAAAAAGAAAAAAAAAATGTCACTCCCTCACTACAGAAGAATTCACTGACAGAAATCAGAGTACAAGATCATCTTGAAGATCGTACTGAACAACTTTTTATATTTTACGGCGAAAATAGATTAAATTTCAAAATACCCAAAACATAGACGAACCAACCGACCCAGCAGGTTGGGTCCTGAGATAGAGAATTCGAAATGAATCTAGCTAAAAATCTCAAACAGTAACAAAAATTTAGAACATTTATCGTTAGCAAAAATCAATGGCTTCTCGACATCAAACCATTCGTTTTCCTTCCCTAGCCGTCCCTCCAGATCACTGGAAACCAATACGAACAATAACGAAATGGGAGGTTTCAAGAAATCAAAATCTGCAAGACCCAAATTTGAAACTGGGGAAAAGATTAGTCGACGAAAATGTACCTGGCAGTGATTTTGGATTTAGAAAAGAAACTCCAGAAGATAATCTTTCGACGTTGCTCGGAGGAGGCCTTATGGTGGAAATTGGGGAGTTTGTGGCAAATTATATTAGAAAAATTAAACTAATTCATTGGGGTGGCACTTGACAGAATCCAGAGTTCTTAATATACCTTTTTTTTGGCAGAGATCTTTTGCGTACTTTTTTTTACATGTTCTTGAAAAAAATAAGCTTAATTTCATATAGTATAGAAAAATAGAAACGGACTTAATTATATGTTACTGATTAATTTTTCTCCTTAAATATCGTATAACAAATAAGGTTTCAATGTCAAATGAATATAACTCGGTGGTAATTGACATATATTTCCAACTAAGAAGTTGCAAGTTTAATCTCTACCCCCACATGTTGTAAAAAAAAACAACAAATAACGTTTCAACCTTCAACTATAAAGTTCGTTAATGTTTTATGTTCTTTTCAAAAATAATAAATAATAAACAAAGTTGCATAGCAATAGGATGCTGGAGAAGATTTTGTTTTTTTTCAAACACGACAACCTCTTGAGTGATGGTTCAAAATCACAATCTTTCAATCAGAAATAGTTGTCTTAATCAATTAAACGTTCATGTTCGTTTTCATCAGTAGCTTTAGATGTTTATGGAGAGTATTTTTCAACCTAAGTTTCAGAAGATCTCCACTACCTCTCCCTCGTGTATCATCAGGTTGTGGGGTGCTCGATTTCTGGCATGAGTTATGGAGAATTATTTCACAGGTCTTCATCTTCCACAAGGCTTTAATATCACAAATAGTCAATTAGAGCTCATTTTCATACTCTTCTTTGTCAAGTACTAGATTGCTTGCCCATCTTAATATAACTGAACTGACAAAAATATTAATCGTTTTTAAATGTCATAGATTCAAACCGATGCTAGTTCATTTCGTTTACCAATCTTAATATAACTGATAAAAATATTAATCGTCTTTTATGTGTCATAGATTCAAAACGTTACCTCATTGAATAAAATGCTCTTAAAAAAGCTCACGTGCTCTTTTTTTATTTTGTAATTGTTGTGATTATGAAAGTTTATGGAGTCTAAGTTTTTAGATGGATTCCATCAACGAAAGTCCTACAAACAATCAATATCGACATGCGTTTAGGCTTGATTGATTATCTTGAAGCAAGTTTCAGAAGTTCATTGATTAGTAAACCTCTCGTGCTAGTAAGGTCAGGACTGTAATTAGTAACATACATATAAATATGTATATATATTTTTTTTTTTTGCTCTTCTCCTCGAAATGCCAGTAAAGCAGATATTTATAATAAATTAGCAGATAAGAAATAAATTGAATGGGGGGTGGTCTGATTCTTTCTGCTAAAAGCAAAACTCGTATTGAATAGTATACATACACGTCCAAGAACCCTATTCATCCCAATGTAGATTCTTATACACTGTCAAAGAAAAACACACCTGCCAAGAAGCTGAGTGTTAACACTACAATTTTATATGAACCTCGTTAGCCAGTGTGCCTGCGTCCTTCACCCGGAGAACAAACCGATTGCAGTTCTCGCCCGTTTCCTCTCCGTGGTATGAGCAGGCTGTTAATGACAGTGTCGACAGATCTACTACAAATGGATGATCTTTACGGGTTGGTTTGGCCAAAGCACAATTATCCAGGAGGCCATATTCACATTAATTTAATTTTGTGCGTGTTCGGGGATGAGGCGATGGCGCAACTCAGTCGATGCACCAGCAAGTTCTGCGAGCGCATCCAAATCAGTACTAACAAAAACAGTCTTGTCAAAGCAGTCTTGTCAAAGCGTCGAACATGATGTTGAATAGTTAGGTTTTACCTTGTGCTGTGAAATTGAACAATGGCGGTAGAGCTTGGCCGTTGGGTAAACATGCATTTGGATCTCTTAAATCGTCAAAGAAAGGGTGTGCACAAGCCTCCAACTGAAGGGAGAGAAAAAAAGGCCACTTAATGGTTAGATTGACCATAAGCAACCATATGATAAAATTATGAGTTCCTTGCTAGACTATGAGTGTCACATTTCAATGTGATATTATGATCAAAATGATAGCATTGACAATATAATTAACAGGCAGAACGTGTCGCGATAGACATCTAAGTAGTCTCTGAACTTTCACTTGTTCCTAAATTTTCAAAGCATATGATATAATTCCAGAGTTCTATGAAATAATTTCACTACAGTTACTTTTTACACCTCTGGTATCTCTCATAATGATACTATTTAGTGCGATTTCAAGGTTAAATCATGCATTTTGAAAATTCAAGGACAAAAGAAGAGTAAAACTCAGGTGCTAATGTAATTTTCCCTAATCTTATCTATGGGCATAGAAATCCATCTATATTGGTGATAGAGTTCTTGCTACGAGGCATTAGAACTACTAGAAACATTTGACTCATAGCAGCAGCAGCATCACACGTTGCAAAACAACAAAACATTAGAATATGATTTAAAAAATAATCATATTGTCCTAGAAAGCGGCATAGAAATGGGAATAATAATTTTTGTGATTTCAAAGAAACAAAGTCATCATTAAATGAGTAAAGTTTTTTACCGCAGTACAACGTAGGTTGGGCGAATACTGGAGCAATCTAGATACAAGATCGATTGCTTCGGCAGGCATTCTCGAGTGAAATATCTGGGATTATAGCTTCAATAAGATTTCCACCCTCATGACAATACTAATAGTAGTAAACAAACATGACTGAGGAAAAAAAAAAGAATAAATTTTCTGATGAAAATGCAAGAGACCTTATGCCATGGATGCGCTTTAATCTGAGGAAATTTGAATTCTGTATAATTTGGGTTCATGCACTTAATTTCCTCTCTGGTTGGTGTTCCCAATATCTGAGGGTGAAAGAAAGGAGACATAAAGCCATGAGAGAAAATTAGAAAAGTGAAACAGAAAAAAGGAATAAGTCCCAACTTTCTTTTGATATCGATATTATTCAACAGATCGGTTGTACCTTGATGATTTCTACCAATTGATCAACACCACTTTCACCAGGAAAAAGAGGCTGCAAATAATTTACATGTCCATGGCACATCAGAAAGAGCAAGAAGATGATACAGAAATAACTCAACAATTTAAATAATCTTCTTTTCGGCATAAACCACGCTACACCGAAAAAACAGATTCTCAATGAACATATGATGAAAAGATTATGAAGTCTATGCACAGTTGACAGTTTTTACATGAACCACAAAAGTCCATAAGAGTTAGATAATGGCCTACAAGCTACAACTTTATATTCAAGGCAGCAATTCAGATGAAGACCTACCTGTCCTAAAAGAAGCTCAGCCATTACACAACCTACAGACCACATATCAATTGCATTGGTATACTCTGTTGCCCCAAATATGAGTTCTGGGGCCCTATAATACCGTGAACAAATATAAGATATGTTAGGTTCCCCAGGCATCTGAAATTGAAAAATTAATCGCATCAGATCATAAATCAATATATTTCATCAGAAAAGAATCAGATCCATATTCAGATGTAAATGCATACCAACATCTTTGCACTCCCAAAATCACATATCTTCAGCTGATGGGTGTGAGGATTAACCTGCACGATTGAGCAGCTGAAAATGATCAGCAGATAAAAGACAACTCCTGTCATCTCTACCGTACTCTAACTTTCAACTTGAGGAACCTATTTTTCTGGAGACATTTCTATCGACTCCATCCACATTAATTCTGTATTCAGAGTATGACATGGTCTTCTATGTAAATACATTTTAATTCAACATCATAATACATATCGACTTGAAGTCTCTTACCATTTCAATATGCTTATACAATGTGTGCTTTAATAGCTATTAACATGAAAACATATTGTTGAGGTCCTGAGGGTGATTTTAGCCAACATTTGACGACTGGGCTGTAGTATAAGCAGCCATACACGTGCAAATAAATTTCTGGAATGGAATGCAGGTAGTGCATTCTCATTTAAATCCCCTAGTAAAATGTTTAAGAATACTAACTGTATGCACATTTTTCGAAAAAGTGAATCCTCAGGTCTGAATGGACATAGTATTTTTATAAACTAAGAACATTAAGTTTGGATCAAATCTTTGGAGCTATTAGTTTGCCCACTTCATCTAGGACTGTTTTTAGAAGTCACTTGGGGTTTGTTTTGGCTCACAACAAACATTTTTGTTCCTTTTTTTCTTTGGAGCATTTGACTTGAGATGAATAATGGGAACTTTAGGGGGTTGAGAGGTCCCGAGAAGAGGTTTTGTCTCACGCCAGGTTTAATGACTCTTTAAAAATTAGTATCTAAGGGAGTTTTTGTCATTATCCATTAGGCCTTGTTCTTTTCAATTTGAGCCCTTTTTGAATAGTTAGTTCATGTTTTGGTTTGTCTCCTTTTGTTGGATTGCCTTTTTATTTGCCCAAGTTCAGTTTTTCATTTAAAAAAAAAGTAACAAAAGGAGTTGCTGTCAGATGATGGGAAAAAAGGAAAAAGACCTACCAGTAAATTCTGAGGCTTAATATCACGATGACACACCCCTACAACATGATGCAAGTAATTCAAAGCCCGGCAAATCTGGAAAAGTGAGAACATAAGTTACTACATTTATACATAGGATTGCAACAGCCAAATTCAGCAAGAATTCCAGATTGAAGGTTAAAATACTTCTCACGTCATCAAATCAACAGTAATTCATCACGAATTGAAAAGTTTACCTGATATGTATAAAGCTGCACATAAATAATGGGCATGCTTCGGTTCATCCTGATATAATGCTTAGAAACTCTGTAGACAGTTTCAGATATAAACTCCAGGACAAGGTTAAGGTACAGCTCATCTTTATCAGTAGTGGAAAAGAAACAATGCTTCAGTTGAACGACATTAGGATGGTCAAGTATGCGCATAATCTGAAGTTCCCTGTTCTTGTATCTCTTATCCTGCAGCACCTTCTTTATTGCTACAGCTTCATTTGTTTCCAAGCACTTAGCCTATTACAATAACATTCATATGATTTTAAAAGTTGCAATAACCTCAGGATCTGAAAGGAACCAGAGCAAGGAGTATTGGTTGAACATGGAACAGCATATTAAAATACCTGGAAGACAACACCGAAAGAACCAGTACCAACCACACGCTCTGCCATGTAGGAGATCGTCTGCAACAAGGTGACAACAGCAAAGAATTTTCAACCACCTCTCCACCTCAATTACAAGAAATCAAATACCATATGATTTGATTGAAAAGGTTACGATAAGTTATTTCATAGCTTCCTCTGAGATTATGAGCATACGTGGGAGATATAGAGAGGAGGATATGTGCAACCAAATGACAAACAATATGCAGACTAATTAAAAGTAACCTGTTTTGGTTTTCCGTTCCGCCCGCCTACTGTAGTTGCTATTATCTGACCAGCTTCTGTTCCACTGCCATTAATGATAGCAGGTTCCACCAAATCCTAAAACAGGATCATAGCAGATAAAATTTCAATACTTATTTCCACTTGATTTACCACGTTGCAGAAGTATCCAAGTTACGTTTTCCACATGGACTACATATCAAAGAATACAAGATACTAGCAACTTAATTGCAAATGTACATGGAGAAAGTGGCATGAAAGATATTGAAAAGATGGAGAGATTGTTTAAAAAAGGAAGATAACAAAACAAAACAAGAGCTATATTTGAGAAGCAAAAGTCTCTCTGAATAACCTTTTCATCATGGTTGGTTTTGTCATCTCTAATTCTCATTTCACGCATTTCTCTTGGAAGGTGATCATAGCCGGACTTTACTGCTCCAGCCGTTGATGAAATATTCGATGTGCTTGCAGCATTGTCCATTGAAGTAGAAGCCAAATTCGGTTCTAATCCAGAGGCAATTCTTCCGACATCATCCGATACCCCATCAACCTTCCGTTCAGTTTCTTGATCAACTTTAGCCCGCTTAATCCCAAAATCTCCACCCTTAAAAGACACGGTAATGAGAAAAAGATCAAAATTGATGGAAATGTAAACATCAGAATCCCGAAGCATCAACAGTATCTCCATTATGACAACACAATACAATGTATAATGTTACACATTGTCATAGATCTTAAACGAGGACCACTAATAAACGCATCAAATGATCTATTTCCTTACAAGAAATTATCGGAATTAGAAAGCTGAAAGGGCATAAAAAATGAAGATTAATTCATTATCAGCTGAGTTCCCTTTCAATTTCGACCATGTTCTCGTCGATCAAGCATTTCAATTCCCCACAAACTTTCCCAATTTCAACCCAACACAACGCCAACGCCAGAAAGTTGAAGATACAACAAAAAATCAAAATACAAAATGAAAATACTCACAGGGTCAGATGAAATCGAAGTCCGACCTGAAGCAATGCTCTTAAGACGACGCATCATATTCATTGTAGCTAATTGGGCCGCCGCGTCCTCTCACCCCCAGCAGAAGACGAAACCCTAATCCGTCCCAAAAAACGAAGAAACCACCGCACCCCTCAAAGAACCAGACCCAAATCCAAAACAGCTTCTTCAGAAATTGGGCATAAAAGAAAATTCAAAAAAAAAATTCTTTTTAAAAAAGGAAAACAATTCGTTGTTTAACCAGAAGAGAGAGAAACCCAATTTCTCTCTCCTCCAGCTGCGGCTGCACTCCCCGGAAACCAGAAGAAGAAGAAGAAGAAGAAGATTGAATTGAAAGAAAAACAAGAAGAGAAGAAAAGGATTTGGGATTTGGGATTTGGGAATTGGGATTTGGGATTTGGGATTTGAAATTAGGGTTTAAAAAAGGGTTGGGATTGGGAGGTGGCGATTTTCGAATTTTTGTTGGGTCAAAGTGGGATCAAAGCCAATCATTCGAGGCCGGTTTTTAATGTACATTGGTCAAACGAAACCTCATTATGTGGTTTTCCGGTGGCCCCATTTTCCCATTTTACCCCTACCCTTTTTACCAAAATACGTTCCTCGATTCCACGGAATATTCGCTGCACCTTTGACCGTTTTTTTTTTAATTTTACCCGCCACAGTTTTCAAACTTTCAATTTCAATCCTTCCACCACACTTTTTTTTTTCTTTCCATTTTTAAAAATATTATTTATTTCCTACTCTTTTCAATTTTATCTCATTTGTTTTCGAATTTTAATTTTGGCACGACACTTTATTCGCTCAATTTTTTGAAATATAGGCATAACTTTTTATTAAAAGATTTCTATTGAATATAAAGTTTGTGTTGAAATTTTGCAAATAGGAATCAAACTGATAGGGGTGTTCACAGGTTGGGTGGAGTTAAGTCGAGTTAAGAGGGGTTTTAGAACCAATCTGAATTTTCGGGTTGACAATATATAGGAACCGTCAGGTTTGAATTGGAATCAAATTGGTAGGGGTGTTCACAGGTTGGGTTTGGATTTTTTCGGGTCGTGTGTTTTTTTTTTTAATTTTTAATTATCACGGCGGCAACATGAGTTTGGATTAAAACTAAATGAACGGTTAAGATTTAGATACAAAATGGAATAAGATAATTTGAAAACCTTAAATGAAATGCTATGATTAAAACTAAATGGACGATTGACATTGAAGATAAAGATAAATATTATTATTATTATTATTATTATTATATACAATTTAAAAAAATACACATATATGTATAAATTCGAGTTGGGTTGGGTTGGCCTGATTTTTTAAAGGTTAAATCCAAGACCCAACCCAATCCAAACCTTAGGGTTAGGTTCATCGGGTTGTTTGAACACTCCTACAAATTGATCACTTTTTAAAAGTAGAGGGGTCGAAAAGAACATTTTGAAAGTATAAGAACTAAAAATCAATGTTACAAAAGTATAGAGATGGACGTATTTTCATGGTTGTGTTTGTTTAGTCTCTATCTTTTTTAAATAGTTTCTAAATATGTTTTTTATATTATAATTTATAATTGTGAGTATGATATGACTCACAATATTGAAAGTTTGGAAATGGAAATGACATAATAATATAATTATTTTAACTACTTAAAAGTATAGAGGTAAACTTATAATTTAACTTTTCAATTTGATAATTGGATATTCATTAAATAATACATTTGTTTTTTTGTCCTGAGTTATTATTTCAGTTCATAAACTTTACGATGTGATGATCTAATTTAAAAACTTGTAATGATTTGATAAAAAATTTATACGGTGTAATGGAAATTTGACATGACAACCACATCGATTATACGCGTACAAAAATAAAATGCACGTGTACAAAAATAAAATTCATATGTAGAAACGAAAGGATGGATTGATAGACTTTGGAATATGGTTGCGACATCAAACATAGTTCGCACCTCAACATAAATTTTCATGATAGAAACTAAATTATAATACATTTTAAGCCATAGATACTGTGCATATTCAAGAAAAAATGATGATATAAACTAAATTATAACAAATTTTAAACTATAGAAATTACATTGTTACATCCTAAAGTTTAACGTTGCATTTTTTTAATTGAAATTATTATGCAATTATTTCTTCTTTTCTTAGTACCATATAAATGTGAGGTCCATGCGGATCTTCCAGACTCAATATGTCCTTTTATGAGTTGAGTTAGGCTCATTTTTTTTAGTAGAATAGATATAGAGATGGGAGATTGAACCTCCAATTTCACATTTGTGAAGGCTGGTAAGAAATATTTTTCCATGTCATAGATTCTAACTCTACAGTTTACCTTCTTTAAAATCATATCGTAAAGATAGTCGAAGTATACAACGTACCTATTGTCTCTTTAAAGTTGATGATTAAATCCTCACCCTACCATTATTGAACTAAAAATAAATAAATATTAAGTTATACTGGAGATGCAAACATGTGCATTGGTTAGAATTAGAGTTTTTTTTTTTTTTTTTTTACACCAATCTTTATTGGTATTAGGTATTTTGGCGATAAAGTTCAAAAGTAAAATCAACTTTAAGTGTGATGTAAATATATAATACGTTATCACTCTGAAAATATATATATATATATATATATTTGTTCTTTTTTGCCCTATCAAGTGGGTGTTTTTTTTAATTGTTTCTCCATTTGTACGTGTCATCCTTTTTAAGTATCTAAGTTCTTCTCAAAAGAAAAAAAAAATGTCTAACAAAAGTTAGAGACATAATTAATGAGGAAATGCGAATGAATATTCCCCGATGCATGCTAAATAAAATTGGTGTCCTAGTCATCTCTCAATAATGTCATTTGCAATGAATTTCTGTTAGACAAAGTAAGATTGTACCTAAAAAAATATTGTCGAGGTCGGAACGCTTGATAAATATTTGTAAGATAGTGTAACATTTACTACTTGCAAAATTTTTTTGAAATTGATTGTACTTTAATATATTGATACGTATTATCCAATATATAACATATAATAAGTAAATGTAGACGTGGATAGAAAGGTTGAATTAAAAAACAAATCCAAAATGTCCTTTTTGTTATAAAAATTTGGTCAAGTTTTCAATTTTCAAAGGTGCTTGAAAGAATAAAATTAAAGATTTTATTACTAAACTACCATATTTTAAAAAAATTTGAAAGAGAAAATCCAACCATTTTCAAATGCACCTAACTGTGTGGGCTTCCATAACAATTGTACCAGGAACATTATGGGCTTACTAATTAATGGGCTTTTATATTTTGGGCCAAACTAACAAGCATGAGAAACTTCTGAAAAAAAAAAAACACTTTTGAAATCTTAATAAAATCTTTAAATGGCTTTTTGAATTTTTTTTTCAAAAGTTTGCTAAAATATAAAAAATATAGTTATAAAGTTAGATTAAATAACTAAAAGAAAAGTCAACATAAACTTAGTTAAGCAGTAATTATCATCTACTAATAACCAAAATGTCATAAGTTCCAATCTCCCACCCTATTTGTTGTACTGAAAAAAACTAAAAGAAAAATAAAGTAAAAATAAAAGAAGACAGAAATACTGGATATCTTGTTTTCCATTCTAATTTTAAAATGAGAAATTTATTAGAGGAAGGAAAAAAGTTTTACCTTCAATTTGTTTTGAAAACTTATTAGCTCTCGTAAAAGCAAAAGTATATATATAAAAAACAAAAAAAAAATTCCAAATCAAAATATTGATTTAGTTCATACACTTAATAATCATATTTGTTTTTTGTTATTATCTTGTGACCCAACTGTAATAATCAAAATGATTTATTTTTAAAAGTTTTAAAATAGATATTTTAAAAGTTTATAGACTTAAATTAAATCATTGTTTTTTCAAAATTCAAGCACTAAAATAGACATTTTTAGATTCTTTTTCTTTCAAAAATATTATTTTAATTTTTGCTATTATCTTGTCATCTAAGGAAAAAAATGGTTTACTTTTAAAAGTCTGAAACAAAAATAAACATTTTGAAAACCTAAGAATATTTTTTTTTCAAAGTTTAAGAACTAAAATAAATACTTTGAAAAATAAAATTTAAACAAATTATTTAACAACACAATTCTTAAAATATACCATAATAACTGAAAGAGCTTTTAGGTGAGGGTGAGAGTATAGATTCAATAGCAGCTACTAGAAATATATTCCAATAGTCACAAAAATATGTATATTAAGATCTCATTTAATAATTTTCTCCGAACAAAAAATTGTTTTTTAAAATTAAGTTTATAAATAGTATTTTTATCTATGTATTATTTTATTTTATTTATCTATTCTTTAATTTTAAAACCAAAAAAAATCAAAATCTTTTTTTTAATGAACGTGAACACATGTTAAAGAAATTACAGGTAAATAAGTATAAATTTTAAAAACAGAAAACTACAAATCATATCGTTATCAAATAGAGTCTAAACATTTTCATAATTATAACACTGTGATTATTGAATCATATTCTATAAGTAATAATGTTACAATAATAATTAAATAATACTCATAAAATATTGAACTCAAAAGAAACTATATATGGTCTCAAGTATACAAATTTGTTATGGGAAGAGAAATACATGGACGAAGCGATAGAAGGGGAATCGTCGAACACCGTCGGTTCGGGCCAACCCGGGGTCGGCGTCGACCAAGCCTCGGCGTCGAGGAGGCCTCACGCTGAGGTGTTCTCGGCCAAGGTCGAGAATCCTAACTCGACTCCCCTCGATCCTCGTGCAGACCAATCCGAAACCCCGCCTGATCTTGACCCTTGATTTGACATTAGATCCACGATGAAGCATATGAGTCCAGAAGTCCAGATCTCCTAAAGATACTAGGGTTCAACTTCTGTAAACTCCCATTAGGATTCAACTTCTGTAAACCCGAGGGAGATTATGATTCAACTTCTATAATTAAATTGGAAAGTAAGCCAAAGGTTTGGCCAAAACCCCCTGCTCTCCCCCTACTTTCCTCATTCAACTTCTCCGATACTAATTTAAGCATCGAAGTCCGTGTAGCCAAAGCCACACCGGTCCTAGTGCATTGTTTTGCAGGTCCCGTCGATCCCTTTCATACTTAGAAGATTAGTGCAAATTTGGCGAAATGTCAAGAGACCAAATTTCTACATCAACAAAATTAGTTAAAAAAATAATTTAAATTTATATCACGAAATTGAATTGGTGTAAGGAATTAATAAAAAATTACTTTTTGAGGTAATCATATAGATGGGAATAAATATGTATTTGCAAATGTAGTAGAAAAATTTAAAATGGTAACAAATAACACGATAGAAACTCAAATGTAAAGTAAAAACAGGTCAAGTAGTTAAATTTGTGATATATTTAAAAAAAATTAAAAATTGTGATAATTTTGAAAAAATATATGTTAATTAAATTTATACTATAAAGTAAAATTTGTTTAAATAATTAATATATTTCAATAATGATTGAATATGACTCAATT